TCATTGTCTTTTCTGAGTCTATTTTTGGGTCTATTTTGGGTCGATTGGAAGAAAAGAAAACTAAGGGCCTCGCTCCACTACTCTCGAAATGTGCAAAACGAGAGTGAATCTTCCGCTAGAACATGGAAACCTACACCACCATGATTTTTGTATTTTGTGCATGTCGCCAGTTGTGGAGCGACGCCCTAAAGATGGGGCTTTCACAGGAAAACTATGGTACGTACATGAAACATAAACTGCGAAAGGACAAAGGAAGACAAAGGAAGGACAAAGGAAGACAAAGGAAAGAAAAGACATGGTATTGCGGAATGCATGCTGGGACTGATAGTAGGAGTGATTGGCTCCCGCATCGAAAGGGGCTTTTCTTGTTGCGTTGGGTGACTTGGGTCCTCTTGTTTTGTTTGTCGTTTTGTTTGTTAGTTTTTTCTTAGTATTGTTTTATTTTCTGGGTCTATTTTGGGTCCAGTGTAAGAAAATGAAACCAAAGAGACCTGAATACAACGTATACAGTCGTTATTGCGGTCCGTAGATTCAAAGTTCGCCCAAATACAGCTAATGACCATACATTGTATTCGGGTCTTCCGTAGCAGATCAAGCATTTATATATTTATATATATATATATATATATATATATATATATATACTATTTTTATCATAGTAAGGGCAGACACATACTAGCTCTATCTTAAATGTGTGTGACCACATTTCCAGCCAGACCTGGACGCATCTGTCTGGAACTACATCCAGAAACGAGTAAAACAGTCGTACTGTGAGTATGCCCTAATAGTAACAGAAAGTCATCCAAAGGGCAAGCCAACTTTGCTTTAAATTTTGCCTTAATGGTTTGGGGGAGAACGAGGAGGAGGGGGGGGGGATTGCCAACATCCAGTGGGGAGGAGAACAGACCTCAAACTTCTTTTCCACGAATGAACAAAGGTCGATGCTCCTGTCCCTCTTCAACCTCTTTCTGACTTTCCCGATATGTTCCCTCCTAATGAGATGGCACTGGTGGATCTCAACTGGTTCGAGCGACTAGCACTGTGACAGGAAGGTCAGGTACCGTAGGGATAATTCTGTCATCAGACGGTCGGTACAAGGGGCGTAAATGAAGAGGCAGGCTGATGTTACTGTGGCAAAGGGGCGGAAGAGATG